TGATATTGTAAGAAAGTTGGTATAATTTATCGTTAGGGTTAATAAGATTTTACCGTTAATAAGATTTCAACGGGTTAATAGGATTTCACCGTATGCTTTAGTTAGGAATTGGGTTAGGGTTGAAGTCTTCTTTCTTGGAGTCTGTAGTCGATGTCTTCAAACATAGATATCGACTACAGACTTCGAGAGTCTTGAAGCTCTGTTATCACCACCCCTGGTGCAACCCCGTCGCGTCGGGTTGAAGACGGAGAGACAGGGACTTCCAGGAGATATCATGGCCTGCTATGTGCAACTCGTAGGAGTGTGCAGTGTTCCTGGTGAGTGTTACTTCTAAATCTGCTTAATGGGATCGCCAAACAGTTAATAGACAGTTGCCTAGGTACTGTCATATCTAAGCGGAAACTTGTCTTTGGACATCGCTTATGTGTTTATATCTCGAACTACACAGGGTCCTGCTCCTGTAACCTGGTCAGTGGTAGCCTGTGAGGGTGTAGACTGCTCCTTTATTGTTTTATGTTTATCTATATCGGTATTTTGATTGTCCGATCCAAAACTAAATCCTGGGTTCCCACGAGACGTGGTAGCCTGTAAGCGTGTAGACCGCTTTTCTATCTTTGTTTTGAGTGTCCGATCTAAAACCAAAACCTGGGGTCGGTTACATGAAACATGGGAGCCTGTGAGGGCGTTTATAGTTTCCTGCGAAAGGAGTTATTTGCTCATGCTGGTGCATTGTGGAAAGAGCATGGTTATGCTCTAAGGCTAGTACTAGTACTAGTAGAGCTTATTAAACACCTACGCATATATGATATAAGATCGCGCGCGTTCCGCGCATTTTGTTCAATTTAAAGTCAATCTTTTAAACAAATAAGTATAATTCGTATATCTTTGATTAACGTTTTAGTTATGAATATTTTCCTGCCTATACCTAAAACTTTGACTGTATTGTTATTTAGAAAATTTCTGATCATTTCGTGTAAATATGCCCATTTAGTTTTACTTATTTCATATGTTATGATCAAAACAAAATGGAAGACTTTTATTTGTTTTAAAATGCACTTAACTCTATTTACAGTTAAGCTAGAAATTTCAAAATTGCTAGATAATGATATTTAGATCATAAATTGTATGATGTATTAAAAATCATACTAAAAGGATTGTTCTGGAATTTATGGACAGCATTTAAAGAGTGATTATAATATATATCTTGTCAAAACGCGAGAAAACGCGCAAAATACTTAGTTTGCAATTTGCGCTTTTGCATGCAGCCACTGTGACGCGCACAACGCACAAAAGCATTAAGTTGTTATTATATCAATGGGCACCCGCGCGTTCATCAACAAGAAATGCGGCCGCTTTTTTTTGTGCATGGCCGCTCAATTTCCCGATCCGTGATGGCGTATTTTATCATTTTCTATACAACCTGGGGACCCCAGTTTTTACTGTTTATAAATATGCAGATATGGCGAAGTGACAGGCCGAGCGCCACCAAGTTAATATAATTCCATATTGAATTTGAAAATCGTGTATATTTTTAAAAACCATATGCTTATTGTTTATGCAACCTGACACCCGACACGGATGTGTGAAAAATAGTATAAGTAACTCAAAATAATAATAGTATGCTATCAATTAGTGCCTAGTGGGATATGTACATGGTGAAATTAACAATGTACTTGGTCAGTTCAGCGCCGCGCGCCAACAATTAGCTAATTTGGATTATTCCGCAAAATAACTTTGCGCAGGTAGTCACGTGGGCGATTACAGTGTGTGCATGCAGGCAGGTACGGTCGCTCGCACGCTCGCACGCTCGCAGGTACGGTCGCAAAGCTACCATATACAAAAAAAACCTCGTTCGCTAACCCTTGTCCTTGACTCTTTTGTGCCTTCGGCACTTTGAGTCATGGATCGGGAAAAAATTTCAAACAGCCATAACTCAGGCCTCAGCAAGATTACGTTTATTTTAGTTTTGTAGGTTTATAACCTACCAGGACGCGCGCCGGGTTGGACTCGTCGACGATCCTGATATTTGAAACATATATTTTACGAGTATCACCGCACCCGTTAACTTTAGTTCACATTTTCACACCAAATAGAAAACAATGTGACCTTATTCATTATTGCTGACAAAATATGAATAGAATTACTTTATATTGGCCTAAGAGTTCTGAGTTTCACCTAACTATGTGCTTTCGCGCCACTTCGGGCGCGCTTGTTTCACAAGTCAAGAAAAGCACCTATCCACGAACCCCGATGGGAACTGGGAAGGTTCGTGCGCGCGTGCACAGTGCTGACAACAGCGTCTATGTATCGCAGGTAGTCTTGACACTTCTCCCTCCAGTATACAGTAACCACTTTTCAGGTTTCTATAGTGCATAGTGACAGTGTATAGGGGTTAATTAGGTATAAACTACAGTTTAGCTGTACTTACACCTACATTCACAAGCATGCATGAGCTCACCTGGTCCAATGAGCGGTCGAAACGAAGGACAAGGTCTGGTGACGTCATAGTCACGTGACCTCATAGGCTTTTTACCGCCGTGAGGCGGGCGCACGCTACTGCAAGCGCAAGGGCTCTGGATAGAGCAAGTTCTGAGTTATAAACTTTCACATAGCCATGTGTATACGCGTACTGCGTGACGCGCTTACGGCGGTCGCGCGCTACTGCAAGCGAGAGGGCTCTGGTTAGAGCAATTTGCTCTATTGTCTATCCAGAGCTCTTGCGATTGCAGAATGCAGTGTGCAGTGGCGCGCCCGCAGTGGCGCAAAAGCACATGGTTAAATTAGGTGAACATTGGTATAGCACGTGATAAATAGGATGATGATTAATAACTCTACTATACATACTATTACCATTACTCTACATAACACTCGGCTGTCACTATTTCAACCCGTTATCTTGACGGATATTATTCGTCTAAATTTCTTCGAAGTAGCGCACGATGGGACGAGGTTACGTAGAGCCTTGCTATTCACAGTAGCTGTTCGGCGCTGCTAGTCGCGCTGGCGTCGGCGCGTTACGTGTACAAAGTATAATATTTTGACATCAGTTTACAAATAAGACTTTATTGTTGTGTGTTGTGCGCACGACCATGCGCTACCCGAATTTATGTTTTTGATAAACAAAACCACAGTATAACAAATTTTAAAACAGGAAATTATTTAGTAATTGATGATTCAAAGTTATTATAAAGTTATCCTAATATAAATGTTTCATTATTATGAATATAAAGATAACCTGTTTTAATACTTTCAACACTACTGTCTACTAGCTACTCTACTATATAACAAATAATTTGAGATCATGAATACGCGTACGATGTAGTTACATTGAAACGTCGAGTAAACTCCTTTTCCTAATTGGATCCAATTATTTTGTATTTGCATTACACAAATTTGGCGGATATGTCAACAATATTAATTTGCTCAAAAATTTAAAAACATAGATATTTTCGGGAAAACTGTCTGATCGATCACGTGATATCAGATATGACCATATATAAAGAAAATGGTTTGATTTCTTGTTAGGGTTAATTAGGGCCGGGTTTCAGCGTATGCTTTTGTTAGAGATTTGAGCGTGCTAAATCAATTTACAGTCTAGTCGATCTTCGAGATTGTTCTAAAACATCAAAGGGCCCCCGACAGTTGAAACCAACTTCAATCGATGTATTTTCGAACGCTGATTCCGAATCACCCCCATGCCATGGCATAGGGACCGGGTAAAATGCTCCCCTGACAAGATATTGGCGAAAAACTATCTTATATCTCAGCTCGATTAGTTTTATACTGGGCCGCGCTCAGCCTGTCATACGTCATTCCGCCGAATCTCTATTTCATAAACATAATAGCCTGAGGTCCCCAGGTAAGATTAGTTAGTTTAATTTCTCGTTAGGGTTAGAGTTTCAGTTGATTCACGATGCAATGTCAATCCTTCGCAGCTCGGTGAGGCACAGTGGTGCATCTCGCCGATCTACCGAAGAAGAATTATTTGATGCGCGGCGCGACCCAGTAGTGCTCTTGAAAATTTCTTGAAAATTTCTTGAAAATTTCTTGAAAATTTCTTGAAAATTTTTTGAAAATTTCTTGAAAATTTCTTGAAAATTTGTTGTTTTCTTGAGTGCATCGCGCTACAAGAGTTTCAGCGTTGTAGGTTTACAACCTACCAGGACGCGCGCTGAGTTGGACTCGTCGACGCGGACGGTTCTAATATAGGGAACAGATATTATACGAGTATCACCCGTTAATTTCTTGTATCACGTGGTGACCCCCACTGTCGCTTCACTGTAGAGTTTCTACGATACAGGGGAGCCGCGCACTCGTGCGCGGCGGGTCATACAACGTATGACAATTAATTTCAGCATGGCATATGCTTTTGGCTTTGCTAAGGATTGGGTTAGGGTTAGGGTTGGGATTAGATCAGAGAGCTAGGATTTCGAATAGTCATTCAGGGCCACCAACAACCAAAAGAACGTTTTTTTAAAGTCACGTGACAGCCGAGTGTAGACTAAGAGTGATTAATCATCATCCTGCCGAGGCACTATTGTCTATTATACTAGCTGTATGGGGGTTAGTCCTAGCTACGAGCCAAAGAGTGTGTATCACCAGCCGAGGCTTACTAAATCATTGTATCACGTTGTGACACCCACGGTCGTTTCACTAGGTGACGATACAGGGGGAGCCGCGCACTTCGTGCGCGGCCGGTCATACAACGTATGACAACTAAATCACACCTGTCAGAATTAACTCTCGAGTGCGCGCACAATGCTATACTGGTTTAGCAATATAATAGACTAGACATACGTTGGAATGAGGTTTACAACGTGTAGCAACAATAGAGTAGAATGTCCTATTTTTGGACCAACTGCAACCTCAAAATCGATCTCCACCATGCACATGAACATAACAAATTTTGCGTTACCTCAGGTAACGGTTACCTGCGGCCAGGAACAAGCTTTTACTTGGATTTTCCTATCGAATTCCAGAACACATAAATACTCAGCCTTATTATTTAACAATTCTTTAAAAATCAAATAAAATACATTGAACTGTCAAACTTGTAGACACCTTCTTCCCTAACATAAACATGGTCACGAATTGTTCAGCAAAAATCTTAATTCAACCCAGATAGTTTAATAGTAATGTGTAATGTAAAATGATCAAAATAACACATTTTAAACAAGTTATCAGAGTAAGCACAGCTGTAATTAAATCGCGATGCAAATTTGAAATAGAATTAGATGCTCGAGTGCTTAAAACGTTACCTTACATCGTATAATCTAACGTTTTTTAAAGTAAAATATTAATCGTGCAATTTTCAAACCATCCAAAAATAGGATCAATGAAATGCAACCTTGATTTAAAAGGAATTTAAGTTAATGGTAAGAAACAGATGTTATCAATAGTGCAGTGCTGATGCTAAACTACCATTTATCCACATAACCCTACAAATGTTCTATAAACTAAAGTCTATAATACAATTACACGTGGTTGTTACAGTGCTTTCAAATTAAGTAATTAGCAGCCGTTACTGAGCCTCACCAAACGGTTACTCTAAAAAATAAGGAGGATGAATTATGAAAGTTATCTTCATTTGCGAACACTGTAAACTCAGTATATTACATATCAGGTCGGTTTTGAGCGCTTCTTTATCATTTCTAGTCGCTTTTTTAAGTCGTCCATACTGCGAGAAGGTATCTGGGAGCCTGACCTGAAATAAAATATATTGTTTGTAAATATGTATAAACATGTTGCTTTGTTTTTTTACATGTGTTATATTAGTAATTTGTTGAAATCTAATGCTTAGGAATGTAATCTGTTGAACATTGGGACGGGGTGGGGTAGAGATAAGAATACATTTATAATAATCAAAACTATACCTTGCAGGAGAGCGACTTGGCGATGATGTTGGTCGAGGAATCGAATTCAGAGTACTAGTTGGTAGTCTGGACCGCTGAGCTTCCTTTTCCTGGAAAGATCGGGTAATTGATAGGGGATTCGAACATTAATTATATAATTCATACTAATACAAGTGCCATTTCTTTTAGTCGTCCCACTAAAATTACCTTCGGTATCTTATTGATGAGATTCTCGATTTCACGAGAATCATTTGGAAATGATTCCTTGTGTTTGGTTAGAGTGTTTCTTGTGTCCTTCAGTACGTTTCTTAGCGAGCAATTCTTTAGTTCGGTTAGCTTCTTCTCTGATAGATTCTAGAAAACAGTAAGAAGTCAGGGATAGATAAAATTACAGCTTCATTCATATTTCTTATTAAATTGTCAAAAATATGTATAAGCTATTAAAGTATTAAGAGTGACTAATACTATAAATTAAAGTACCTAAAAGCTCTACCAAAAGCCCCACAAAACTCACCAAATTACACTTCATCTGTTCCCGCTCATTACTGATAGCTAGTTTAGTACGATGACACCGGGCCTTACTATGGCTCTTCCTCAGATCTATCAGTATCTTCTCCACTAAGCGTTTCTTAACGTCAGATAGAGAAGCGAGGTGTGGGGAGACATCTAGAGAGGGGTTCTCGAGGATGAAGGTGTGGAGTTGGAGTAGCGTCTGAGGAGGGTTTGTTGGCGTTATTTTTGTTGGGAACATATTGTGGTAATCAAGGCTTTCATCTTCAAAATATGAGAATTTTGTTAACAATTGAATGTTACAAATTTGAAAAAGAATTTGGTAATTGGCAATAAAGGTACTTACACTTTTGACTTGATCTTTATCCTTCAAACATTCAAACATTTCGTCAAGTGCCAGTTTGTGATCACCTGTAGGCGACTTTGTCCCTGAAGTATTTTTATATTCTTAACTTAACTTCAGACAGCAAACATTCCATTAAATAAACTGTTTTGCTAACCTAGGGAACTTAGTGATACCACTATTTAAAGAGTATTAGGTAAAGGAATAATGAAGATCACTTACCAGCAGTAATGAGATTAGTGAGATCGTATCCCAGAGCAGTGAGGAATGAATCGACCAGCGGCCGCAAAATGTTCACATCCTCCATTGACAAACACTCCACATCTTCTAAAACCTTCGGATAATTAACAGTGTTGTTAAGAGGCGTTAATAACTTGAATAGATTGATTTCTAAAGGAAATGAATCAGCAAAAACATAAGATTATACTTGACTAACCTTGAGTTCCAGACCCTTGCAAAACTTGTGAACCAGAGTTTTGATAGTGCGGTAGGGCTTATCGTTATCATGTCCGTCCTTCCAGACGCTCGAGGGTAACCTGTAAAATATTTGGTTGTAATACAATTAATGCTTTTCATGCAAACAAGTTGAAACGAATCTTTTATGTCATGTATCCTGGGTTTGGACAGGATATGCCCGCTTAAAATACTTCCATCGCGTTTCATTACATAATTCTCAATAAATGTAATAGATTTGTATTGTTGTAATTAGTTTACAACAGTTCAGTTCCAGAGTATAAACTCAGCAGTATTGATCGGATTAAAGTTGTAAGTTCATATTTACAGAGTGGTGATCATGATACTATAAATAGGTTTACATTCCATGAAAATGAATGTGCATCAAAATCCGATCATTCAGTTAGTGTATCGGATTACTAGCATCGGTCATGATTGAATTCTCTAACCTTATGTCATTGCATTCCAAAATCTAAGGCCTTTGGTTATTATTTAGTACTAGGTCATTCGTGAGAGTGAATGGTTCATTTTTCGCTTTGTTTTCCATCCTAATATTAGATTTTAGACTGATCGTAACAATTATATTATCTTGATATTATGATAAAATTGTGTTTCGTTGAAATCCGGTTGAAATATAAAACCTTCACAGATCACATGTGTAAATATCTAGAACTGTTGCTGACCATATTATTACACGATACACGATTTGAAATATCACGAAAATAATCTCCATAAAAATCAAATAAGCAGTTACTGCACTTATTGTTACATAGTGTTATTTTCAATATGTTGTGTTTAACACTTAATATCGTATCAAACAACTAAAGATATCCGTTTACAGGATATGAACAATGAATGAAATAGAGATAACAATACGAGAAGGCCCACCTATTCACCTAAGCAAACAAGTCCTCACTGAAGCCAGCAGTGTGTTCACCCACTTGTTAGAGGATCTCGGAGTAACGTCACTTCAAATAGAGGACTTTACCCCAGAAATAGTGATCAAGTTTCTAAAGGCTATAGAGGACGAGAAGCTGGATGACATTGCAGATTACCAGTTTAGAGAACTTCACAAGTTATCAGTTGTTTATCAGATATCTTGGCTGATTGCTCAGTGTAGGGAGTGGCTGGTTAAAAAGATACAAGAGACTATAGATACCCCTAGTTACCACTCGCTGTTCTTTCTTTTTAATGAGTGTTATTACATATTCAGTAAATGGAAACTAGGTAACTTCATGGTGAGGTTTATCTTAAAGAGACGGTTTAAAGATAACACAACCTTTATATCTAACTATGTTAAAGATAACAAGGAGCAACTGAGTACAGATCATTTGCGGTTCTTACTGCATCTGTCTGGCGCTAACACAAAGATCATGCTACAGATTATTCTAGATCGTTTTATCAGCCAGGACACGTTAGATAAGAACAGCAGGTTCTTGTTACAACACGTAAATTGGCCGGGCCCGTTATGTGAGCAACTTGGGGAGGTTAACGAAATATTTGATCGGTTATCAGAAATGAAGGATTTATCCCACGATGATCAGATGTTCGTGTTGAAACTGACTGAAACCACGAGACGAGCCTCCCTGGCTTTAAGACGACGAGGATCAGTTAAAAATGTGAATGTTATCTGGGATTCCACTGAATGTGGGGCGCTATACACTGAGTGTACAAGCCTGACAAGCATTATTTGTCTTATAACAACAGGTAGGATCAAGAACATGTACGCTGTCATAGACATGATATCAAAAGTAACACTCGAGATTAACCTCAGCTCAACGGAGATAACCGCATTTTTAGAGAGTTTGGAGAACTTGTGCCAAAGTGTACCCCTGCAGAGGGTATCTCCAGAGTACATCAACATGTTTATATCTGCACTGGAGTTCAGTGAAGAAGACAACAAGGATCAGTTTATGAAACTTCTAAACATGATGGTGAAGAACAACAAGGTATGCTCACACTACGATAACCTACATTTGGTTGGGGAGGAAAGGCTACAATCACCGATAGTCAAATCTTGTAAAGATACACTAGGAATAGAAAACCCTCGTCTATACGATTTCAAGATGGACCACCCTGGAGTGACTGACTGTAACGCGCGGTCTCAATGTGGGTTCACCCTCCGTAGATTCGGGCGCTCTAAAATAGAACTATCTAATAAACACGACAGCAGTGAGGTACATAAACACGATGTAGTGAGGGCAGATCGCATGTACTGGTACCCTGTGTGGTCAGGTGGGGGTGAGGATGGTTGGAGGGTCAGGGTCCCTCTGAGGAAGTGGAGCTGGTTAAAAAGTGTGGTCACGTGTGAGGAATGGGTGTTGGAGGAGATTTGTGTGGATTATGATGTGAGGGATTATCTTGTGGCTAGGTGCTGAATGTTTATGATAATTTTGTATTTGGATTTTGGAGCTTAATTTTTAAATAGCTATCAAGGATAACAGTGAACACATTTTAAATTACGGAATAAAATTGTTTCAACCATGTAAACATATTATATTCTTTATAACTGATCAATTTCATTAACACAGTTTGAATCATCGACATTAAATTTGTTCGAATAAAGTAATTAAATTACTTTTTCTAAATTATTAAATAAAACTCCAGTTACCTTCTCAAGAATCGAGCGAGGAGCACTAAAATCTCATTCCGTTCAGCAGCAGTCAGATCAAATTCCTTCTCCAGTCTGGACATCAACTTCCACAAGCACTTCAAAAGTATTTCGAGTTCCTGGATAATCAGCAGTTTGACAAACCAAATCGATAACTATTTCAAATTCATCAACCAGATATAACAACTCAATTAGGCACCAATAATCAAACTGAAATCTATATTCAGTAGTCACTAGAACCAAATATTCTAATCGAAACCAAAGGGGATCATGTTTTTTGTCCATTTTTTCCATACGATTTTGTCCATCTTCAGAAAATAGGGTACCGCATGGACAAAAATAAAAAAAAAGATCCCCAACCAAAGCAGCAAAGTAGGTACCTTGGGACTTCTACTGCGACCAGACTCGCTCAACAAGGAGTCCATGTGTGCCACAAGTGCGCTGATAGCACGGCCAGTGCTACAGTTTGTCAGCAGCCGGATAACTAGCGCGTTAACTCCTTGGAGTTGGGTAATTAGGATATTATAATTAATTAGTTAATCATAATTAATCAGTTAATTATAATTAATTAGTTAATTACACAATGTACAGTACTATGAAGTATAAGTCCATAAAGGACTTTTTGCTGATCACGAAGGAGCCAAATAATACATGTATCAGTAAAATATAAAAATACTACTTCTAGATAATTGGATAATTAATTTTAAAAGTGACTGTTAGGAGATTTTCAGGTTACCTTTAATCAGAGTCTCGATAGTAGGACTAGACTTCTGTTCCTCGGATAGAACCGCTAAGAAAAGTCTGCAGATCTTCTTAATGTAATCAGTTGATATCTGGTACACGGAGGCGTCAGTTTAATATATAAAGCGTGTTGTTATTGATAAATGTTATGAATTAATTGTAAAAACAAATTAATTACTTAAAACATTGAGTATAGCTATATGATCACCTCCTTGGCAAGAGTCTCATTGTTGATAACTTGCATGATGATACTGGTAATAGCCCGGTACACAGTTAGTTCCCTCTCGTCCTCTCCCCCAGGGAAGTGAGTTAATTGGGAGATAGCGCTCATTATCAGGTTGTTAACGTAACTGTGGTGATTTATTAGTTAATTAGTTAATTAGTTAATTAGCAGAAGTAATGGATTAACTGATCAGTGATCGCTCTTAAATCTTAATTAATCGATTAGTTAATTAGCTGACAGACCTTTTCTAGTAAAAACAATCATTGATTGTTGCTAATCAGAAAGTGTTCAGTGTTAATAACACTTCTTGTTAATATCTTACTTTTTTAAAACAAATATATGAAATTAAAAAAAAATAAATATATATTACTTTTTGAAAAGTGCCGTATTTTGTGGGTCTTTGAGCATGTTGTTAAGATCGGATACCGTCTCTATAACAACTGATATCATAGGGTGCCGAAGGTTCCCAACCTTCTCAACCAGGTCGTAGTTTATCTCCTCTACGTCCCTGATGTTGATACCTTCTATGTCCATTACCACGGGGCTGTACTGCAATAATCACACGTGTTATACAATAATCACACGTGTTATATACACGTGTTATAGGCGTCGGACGATAACAAGATAGTGAGTAATTAATTAGTTAATTAGTTAATTAGCAGTCTGTTAAAAGATAGAGTATAGGATTCTGGATTTCGGGAATTTAGATAGTTCAAATGTCTGATAGGAAATTTAATCAGTAGAATTAAACAGCCGTTTAACAATTTATTAGTTATAAATAATGCGAAAAGAATAGCAGTGTCAATCGGTCTGACTAAATCAGGAAACTAATTATTTGGCTTCGTTATTTTATAGTAGTAATAATCGGTCTGTAAGAAGGATGATAAATAGCAGAATTTGGCTAAATTGAGTGCTGACACACAGAAGCTGTAAATTGGCACCCCAAACAGCCGTAGATATTAATAAGTACTCTACAAATACAATGCTTGTGAGCCGGCCGGGTAACTCTTAAAAGACACGTGCTCTTAAAAGAACACGTGATTAACTCTTAAAAGAACACGTGCTCTTAAATGAACACGTGACTAACTCTTTAAACAACACGTGCTACAACACGTGCTACTACACGTGCTACTACACGTGCTACAACACGTGCTACCACCAGAGGATTTACCTTGAAAAAGTTGAACTCAGGAGGAGTAAAGTCTGTCAGATCGTCAACTGCTATCTCTGTCTGTCGGGTGTGTGTCCTCATTTGTACTGGTTTCAGGTTCTGTCAGGGGTGGAGCTTTCATTAAATATTAAAGATATTGAACATATTAATATATTCGAGTAAATATATTCAAGTTGATAATATATTGAAGTAAATATATTTTAGTAAACATATTTTAGTAAGTGTATTTTAGTAAATATATTAAGTATAAAAAATTCCATATATCTATATATAATAAAGAACATTAAAGGATGAGGGGAGCTTAGAATTTACTTCTTAATATTCGCGTTTAAGTCCTGCGAAAGTGTGTAGAATCAAAAAATACACCGGACTGTGTAATCGATAATTCGCCGCGCTCCTATTGGCTGATAGCAATTTTGGGCTGTGACGTCACTTTAGTCTCCTGCGCTGATCCGCGCATATCGAAATACAGGTAAAATGAGCGTACGGGCCGACGAAATTACTGATAAAGAATATATTAACAATTTACGATACTAGCAAACCTATAACCAATGGAGAGGAGTCTTTTCATACTTGTCCTACTCCAACTGGAATAAAGACATGCATTTCATACCTACCCGATCCATTTTTATTAGGACCGTGTTGTGTTGATATGACATGTTGATATATCAACTGTGGTACAATATAGGGAGTTGCTAGGTGTTACGTTGGGAGCTATAAATATACATAATTTACATGCTTTTCTGTGTGACTTCAATCTTATTTCAGGTGTATCTCGGCTCATGGTTATCGTAGGCTAATAATTCTTTCTTCAACCGGTCATAAAAAGTCTCCTCTCCATTGGTTAGAGGTTCGCTAGTATCGTAAATTGTTAATATATTCTTAATTAGTAATTTAGTCGGCCCGTACGCTCATTTTACCTGCATTTCTATATGCGCGGATCAGAGCAGGAGACTAAAGTGACGTCAAAGGTTCAAATTGTTTTGGCTGGATATCTCGGCGCGCGAATGATATACAACTTTACGAATTTCACTAAAGTGGTTTATACGATTAATGTTATAGAAAGATTTGCACGAGAAAAAAACTTTCACAAGCTCCCCTCATTCTTTAAAATCAAACAGAACTATAACTGTGTATGGTGTAAAAAGCTAGGGTAGAAATTAGATAGTCAGGGTGTGACGGCCGTGGTTTAAACTTCAAATTATAATATCTTCGGATAACAGCAAGTTTTGATACGGCCACAACAGCAACTTACGCAAACCTCACTAAAAATAGCATAGTAAATTTCATCCAGTCTCTGGTAAGTCAAAGTCAAAACGTAACCGAAAAAAATTAGTCTACAAAAGATTTCTAACAAATAACAATGATAACTGACAACAACGAACAAAGTTAACAACGAACAAAGCTAACATGTTAACAGTTAACACAACGAACAAAGTTAACACAGTTTTATCTAATATCACCACTCACCGAGTAATCAATGTAGAACTCGCCACGTTTCTTAGGAGGAGGAGGAGGTGGAGGGGAGGGGGACCTGACTGGTTCATCTGGTATCTCCACAGGAATATCATCTAGTTCAACAGCTGCCTCTGCTTTTGGTTTCTGTGAAGAAGAACTGGTCTAAAGAGCAGGTTTTATGGTTATCATAATGGAGGTACTGGTAACTTCCTACTATAATGAGATTTAAACTTTCAAATTTCCATTGAACAGTTAAAGAGAACCAATGATGAAAAGTTGAAAACTCTAATGGGTAAAAATGTTAATCTGTCTATGTTAATGTAGTCTTATGTACTGTGTACAGTCTTCGAATGTGTGCTCAGCTAAGTCAACAAAAGGTCTGAAAGTCTAGACTTGTTTGAAATTGCAGAGACGTGGAGATTTGATAGCTTTGTGTGTGCTCATACTGTGTTCACGTGTTCTAATCAAACGAGATTGTTGAAGTAAAAGTTATAAGTCACGCCTAGAGACTTGAAAGGAAGCAAAAGTAAAATGCCCGAATGAAAGCCAAAGTTCAAAGCCAAAGTCAGAGTGAGATTGTGAAAGTAAGTCAGGGTCAGAGTCATTATTAGTCAGAGTGGAAAGAAGTGAGCATAAACGTGAGCATGAAAGTGAGCATGAAAGTGAGCATGAAAGTGAGCATGAAAGTGAGCATGAAAGTGAGCATGAAAGTGAGCATAAAAGTGAGCATAAAAGTGAACATAAAAGTGAACATGATAGTGAACATGATAGTGAGTATGAAAGTAAGCATTCGAAATTATTGAAAGTGAGCGTAAAAGTAAGCATGAAAGTGAGCATGAAAGTGAGCGTAAAAGTGAGCGTAAAAGTGAGCGTAAAAGTAAGCATGAAAGTGAGCATAAAAGTGAGCGTAAAAGTGAGCGTAAAAGTAAGCATGAAAGTGAGCAAGATAGTGAGCATAAAAGTGAGCATAAAAGTGAGCATGCTGCACGCACCTGAGGCTCAGACACAGGCTCAATAGCGGCCTGACTTTTACTCTTCTGCTGAGAAGAAAACAAGAAACAGTTAACACTCACAGTTCACACATATTGTACAATAAGTCAAACCCCTTTTACTACAACCACGCTTAAATGGGCTTTGTTGATTAAAAAAGTGTTTGTGGCTACGTTTCAGAAAATCTGAATTTAAGCCTTATTTCTGAAAATATAAGAACAGGGTTTGACTGTTCATGTTGGGAATGCTATGTGCGGTTACTGCAGCTACAAAAGAATGGCACGTTACGAAGAATTATAGCCAATGTAATAAGTAGCAGTTTACTATTATTATAAGATATTGAAATCTCTTGGAAAAGGCTGAAAACGATGCAACCAGTTATATATAGTTTTTAAGATTTGATGAGCACATTGAATGAATCCGGCGGACAACATACCGAAGTTTTAGCTTTAGGAGGGCTGGCTATACGTTTACCTCCTCTTTTAATACGCTCTTCCAACATTCCTGACAAGGTTACCAAGTTTCAAAAACAAGCTTAATTATGGGTGTTATTATAGTGATGAAACTTTATATGTATAATTTGCCTCTCCTTCGACCTAACATGAGTGAAATGCTGCTCTCGAGCTTATACCAACGCACCATCACGTCGAGTTTTTCGCAACAAATGCTCTTCTATCATTTTATAGTTGAGTAAAACAATTATCATATAGTTTTCACTGACCTAGATCTTTATCATTGAGGGTACCACACATTTTCTTAATGCTTTCTCCGATGTAATTCCAACCAGCTACGCAGCAGTTCAACGCTGCCATTCTGAAATAAACCAATCAGAAAACAGTATTCACACCACGTGAAACAAACCAACCAATCAGAGCACAGTATTCACACCACATGAAACGAACCAACCAATGCAATTAGAGCACAGTATTCACACCACGTTAAACAAACCAACCAATCAGAGCACAGTATTCACAATCTTACCGGACGGAATTGTCCTTATCGCCTATGAAGGAAGCGACCGCCTCGAACGCTTTTTTAGGGGTTGGTTGACAAACTTCTATACCATTCTCCAGGATGAGCTTTGTTAGCTGATCTAGAACACCACTTCTCTGTCTACTGTTCTTTACTTTTAGACCTGATCATTGGCAGTTAACTATACGTTTTTCTTGTTATAGATTAATACGTTCTTATTGAGCTTAGTTAAATTAGTTCTTACTGTTAGTTAGATTTGCTCCTGGAATCTATGATAGTTTGTCCATTTAAAAGAGTAAGCAACACAACAACGCCACCACTACCTACCTTCACTAAGGTGGTAGAAGGTTCTAGAAGCAGGATAGATGTAGCACAGTTCGTTAAATAGCGCCTGAACACTCTTCCTTACAGGCTCTTTGCTGTCTCCCAACTGTAATATTGTGATTGTTAGCTCTGATCGTATTAAACAATAGGCTATTAAGTACAAAAAACTCCGAGCCTTCGGTTTTATATCAAGCAGTTCAAAGCGTATAGGACACCAAGGAACAGTAGAGCATTATTAACATACAGTGGCAAATAAACTGGATGCTGTTTAACATCTTATAGTCCTGTGCTGTGACTCTCCGTAACTTACCTTTATGATAAGATACGGCATGAAGGCGGATCCTTCTTGCTCTAACAATATGTAGTCATCTTCTCTCAAGGCCTCGAAACATTTAGATAACCTGAAATAGTTACATGATAAGGTTATTGTAATTGTAATCGAGCTGATTTTATCATAAATTGCAAAAACATATCCTGTGGATTATAATAAGTTTATACATAATCGAACGAAATATATAGATTTTACACACACCTTGAAATAGATGTGAATAAACGGCGAGCAAAATTTCAACTCGATAACGCAAGAAATGATTAACTTATAGCGTCTCAACCAAAAAATTAATTTTCCGAAAATTGCACTCTTAACCAGGAAATGCTCGATTACAAAAATAGGTATTCTCAAAATATCTTTTTTTGGTGTGGAAACGGTGCGCTAGATAGTCACTGAACTGCCTATGAGGTCATTTGGTCTGGACGGCACAAACCACTGTTTTGGTGTATGCCCCCTTAATATTCATAGATCAGAAATCTTCTGCTAAAATTTCGTATTAATTAAGAATTAATTAAGAGCTAAAGAGCTAATTAAGAAATAGGTTAATTACAAACCAGTCGAGAGCAGCAAGAAGAACTGAAGTATTGGTATCAAAGAACCTCAGACTAATCCACTTGAGCAAGAGATCTAGCGACTGTTTTATCTCCGGCATATGTGTTGGGATTATAGCTGAAGAGCAAGTTTATTTTATAATCTTTGATATGCTTTGAACTTTACAAATTTTAGCTACTGGTGTAAAATATGTAACAATCTGACTGGAAAATGGACATGGTTCAACAGGAGGGTCACCGAATCTAAGCAGTCACCGAATCTTGAAGGGGATCACAGAATCTTTCGAAACAGACTTGGTGAGAATTAGCAAATAAAATATATCGGATTTTAACCCAAACCTTTTTTAAATTATTTAATTATTTAGTTTTTTATTTATTTAAAAAAACCCAAACTTACTGATCAGTATATTGAGTGCCTCGTTGTGCTGTTTGAAGTCAGGATGGAATAGTTTAGCAAAGAGGCCGGGGCTACACATAGGCTCCATCAGCTCTTGTAACTGGTCAAAGTACTCCTGTCGTGGTACCTAGCAACCAGGCAGAGTTAAGTTGTGATGTAAAGAGTTGGTAAAGAGTTGTATGAAAACATCATAGCCTGATTTTATGTGGTTTATATTTTTGAGACCTTGACTTTGAGCAGAGTACATTTAGTTTGAAAATACTTTCGACAACCATCTATATAATACTGTATATACCTCAATAAATATGTGTTTGTGTGTGTGTGTGTGTGCTTCAAACACACACTTGATTAAGTCGTTCGTAAATTACAAACAAACGCGCTGTGTTTGTTTGTAATTTACGAACGACTTACGGGTCCGGTTTTTTCGGTATATTTCCGGCACAACTCTGACGAAGCCCAACAGCTTATACATTAAGTTTTTTAATCGGCCGGTCGCGGTGGTAAGTTGTTTAAGACACTTGCTCTATAATAAGGTTATTTGGCAGTGGATCAGCCAGCAGCCTGGACAAGCCGTCAACAAAAATACCTCCCACTTGATTACGAAATTATAGAAATATGGTGTTACATGATTTGAACCACGACGAATCATCACGTGACATCATCACGTGACTCTACCAAATAATCCTACCTTGAAATTCCACTTGAGAAGCTTGAGACCAGCTTCATCCTTAAACCTCTGCTTTTTCTTATCATTAGCCTTGAGAGGTGAGTCAGTGTCCTCCTCTTCTCCTTTCTTCTTCTTGCTACTTGGAGGTGGGGCTCCTCCACCTGGCTTCTTTCCAACTCCTGACAGAGGAATTATCAGAATTTAACTTTTAACTGACTTTAGAAGAGAAGAGTGATAAGAATTTAGCTTCTTGTAAAGTTGGGCGATACGTTTACTGGTTAGGTTCCCAAATGTGATACGTTTACTGGTTAGGTTCCCAAATGCTACCGGACTTCGGGTTTCCACTCGAAACACAATAAAGTTTACTAAAAATTAATATTCAGACTGGCTGTATTTGGTTCGGCAAACAAACTTACATGCATAAAATTTAGCAATTCGGCGCACTAATTTTAAAATCCATAAAGCTTGATAGCAAATATCTGATTGGATGCAGGGCTTACCAGTGCTACATATCAATACCAGACCTGTAACTTGATATAATATATACACAAATCACTTGTGAAGATTTCTACCTGCTCTTCTTTTTTAAAGTTATAATCAACTGTAGTTCAGGGACAATGGAACATAATAATTTTTCTCCCTCGACCACCAAAACCATTAATTGGATTTGATAGCAGTCGGAAACCAGGTCCTTGGTAGTTCAAGTGAAATATCTCAAAAAAGTATCAACACAATCCTCTATCAAAGTACAAACCTTTCTTAGCAGGTCGTTTTGTTCCGGTAGCTTCAGGTTCACTATCAGCGTCTTCTACTGTTGAAGACTTGAGAGATTCTGCTTGGGACTTCTTCTGGGGTTGGGAAGATGAGTCAGTCTTTAGTCGGAATTTCGTACGAGAAAATTAGAATCATTGTGTGACGTACATGAGAGAAAAGTCCTTGGATATAAAGACAAAGCTAAAATAACGCGCATGCATAATATATAATAGTGTAAAATGTAGATCAGTCAAATCGTGCAAAGATAAAAGCATTTAATCATGAAACCAGTGGCGTAACTATTTAATTTTAACTGTGAAGGGATCAAACAAATGGAGTATTGGGGAGCCGGGGCTCGGGAGGGAGGGGGTGGGGGGGGGGGGGGGGGGAGCCGGGAGGGGCGACAAATTGTAACCTTACGCCACTGGTGAAATCACTCAGCAATTATTGTAAGGTCAGTTAATCAGCAGTTCTAAGTCTCTAAAATTCACGAATAAGAGAATCAGCAGAAGGTTTACATTTATACAAAACAAATATTCAGTAGCACATCATCAAATACACTGCTGATTTTATTCAGCAAACGTGTCCACTAAAAGTTTGAATTCAAACTATTTAAAATCACACGACCTTTAAAATCACACAGTCAGACTCTATATCGTGGCTTAAAAATCAGATATTCACTCAAATTACCGCTTTGCCCTTCTTGGTAGGACTTGGAGATCCCTTTTCGGGAGATTTAGATTTTCTAGGAGATTTCTTCTTCTGTGGTTGTTCAAAGATAGAAATCAAAGCATTTCAGGATGAATGAGAATACATGAGACATTACAGGGTGTTTACGAAACATTGGTACAGTTTCAAACATTTTTAGATTAAATTATGGAAGAAAATGAGCGCAAAATATATCTGATAGCTCCTTTATGAATTAATCTACAGATGTTTGAAACCGTACTAATGTATCGTGAACACCTTGTATTTGATAGATGAACAGTGGAATATTGTTATAGTCGACCCGTTTTCATGCGTGATATATTAATTGGACTATCAGATGTGAGAAAGTTAAGGAATGCAAGAGTTGGTGTTCATGCATACTGCAGAGGTATCATGCGAGTAGTATTTCAGCACAAATAGCTGTGTTATTAATATGTTGTAACAGCGGCGCGGTGCAGACTGCAGCTACTGGTGTCTGGTGTCACATTTGTGACACTAACTGTGACACTAACTGTGTCACACTAAATGTGAAAGAGTACCTGGTGCCACATTTGCTTTAAATTATTCTTTCAGAAACAAGTCTGTCGTCGGTACCATAAGTGATTAAGTCTAGCCTTCTATTGTAGGGATTTCGAAATAACTGCAACTATTTTTTTAATTAAGTAAATATAAAACTTCCAGCTGGTAGCTACCTTTGGAGCATCATCTTTGGGTTGTGCTTTGGCTTTGGGAGGTGGTTTCTTGGGAGCCAAAGCATCAGCTTCATCTTTATACTTTTCTAGGAAATCCTGCAGAAATATAACACTGAGTGTTTGTAGCGTAACAAACTACTTTAATGTTCAAACGTGCACTAAGCTAAGTTTAGAGGATGTATACAAGCCAAAACATTTATCTGTTGTAGAACTATAGATTTGATGAAAGTGCAACCTGTAATAACAATCGCGAAAACTTTTTAACATTAACATCTTCAATTTTGATTCAAATCTTCACATGACTCTTAATGAAAATAAACGACAAAAAAGGGAGCACGAATTAAACCTGAACGGTCTTCTTGTTCTTTGCGTCCACAGATCCAACCTTCTCCACCATCTGACTGTAGCCCACGTGAGCCATCATGTATGGAAGTAATGCTTGAGCTACCTTCCTTACCTGTGGGAGGTCACAAATTACTTAAATTCATAAACCACTAGGCACATATCAACCACATAGCAACCACATAGCAACCACATAACAACCACGTAGCAACCACGTAGCAACCACATAGCAACCAGTGCAGTCGATAGCAAAGTATCAAAATAACACGGTCTAAGTTGCTAGAAACTTTAAAATATGATATCCATCTGAAGTTCACCTATATGCCAAACTATGCACACTGTTATTTTCATATTGTTTTATTGTATTTCATTGCAAACGTACGTCGGGGTTCCTATCTTCGAGAGACTTGTAAACTCCAAGCACCAGTAGGTTCAGTTCTTTAGGAAGTCGGGGAGGGACTTTGGCGGTCTTTATCTGTTCTGTTAACCACGTGAACAAACAAATCCTAAAACATAGTCAGAACATGAAACACATGCATTACATAGGATACTTATTATTTACGTATTGTGGTTGTAATAGAATTTTGGCAACTTAGCCAACTCTTGTAAGCAATCAATTTCAAGCATCTCTACCCACTTCCTGTTCATATTATACATTACACATACACAGCTACAGGGCATGCGCCTGTATTGTACAGTGGAGAAGGAAAAGGAAAATTGAAGTGAAATTGTATCATAAGTTAGGTTGGGAATCAGAGATAAAGAACAGTACCTGAGGTACCTGACTATAGTTCCTGAGGTTAGGATTGTTATTGTTATCAGTACCTGAGGTTAGGATTGTTATTGTTATCAGTACCTGAGGTTAGGATTGTTATTGTAATCAGTACCTGAGGTTAGGATTGTTATTGTTATCAGTACCTGAGGTTAGGATTGTTATTGTTATCAGTACCTGAGGTTAGGATTGTTATTGTTATCAGTACCTAAGGTTAGGATTGTTATTGTTATCTGTACCTGAGGTTAGGATTGTTATCTGTAGAAGCGGCTACCAAGTCCTCTCCTGTCAGCAGAGGTCTAATAGTAAGGTGTTCTATCCATATGTTCATTACATCCAACACCTGTAACAACAATAACATATGTTAGAGATCTAGCTTGAGAAAAGTTTGGGAATATCTGGCGTACTTGGAAAATCCAAACAGTTGGAGTGCCAATAAAGTCACTCTCAAAAAAATAACACGATTATTTTAGTACAGTATAGTACGAGACTGTTACCTGCGTTTGAATCATCTTCTTGCTGTCAGCCAACAGTGGTATCAACGAGACCATCAGTTCCTTGTGCTTCTTCGTCCCAGTGCCTAGGACTTTACCTAGTGTCGACATTACTCCTATAGCTTTAGTTTTCACAGCCATATTCTTATCAGATAATCGTCCCTGTAAATTTACAGTATTATAATATTATTTATATAATAATTTATACCATGTTCAGCCAATTTGAAATTATATGTTTAAAATGTAAATACACCAGTGCTTTAACGAAATAGTTATCATATTTTTATTTCAGACCGGATATAATTTTATTATTGATAGAAAGGTCTCAATACTCCCGAACAATCCAGACTTACCTTCATGGAAGCTTGGAAGTCACTGCCAAGGTTTGGTTGAATGTTCATAGCACCGTTCATTGCTCTTTCTGCAGCCTCTAGGCCCTCAACCCTCTCCTTCCACACAGTACTATCCAGGCTGCGACGGACAACTTGTTAAGTTAAATATTCAAAACACTGATTTAGGCGAATAAACACTGATTTAGGCGAATAAACAATGTTTTGCAATGAAATGTTAAATAAGTGAGTTCCGGGACACAGTTGCTAAGGAGAACAGGTAAAGCGCTTAATTTTCATTTTAAGTCTCAATTTTTTATGCAACTTTCATTTTCTGAGCAGCAGTACCTAAAGTTCCATGAGTATTATAAATTTTAAAGAAAAATGGATGTGTCGAATTAAGAATAAACGGATTCCTTCCTTTCCTGAAAGAGTTATGCCTGAACTTTTTAGCACAGATTCTAGAGCACCATAGCACATGACTTGCGAAGTCGTTAACAGTTCTAAAATTGAGGAATGAAGCGGTTTATCCACGATATTCACTTGGTCGCCTTTTTGTGACACCTTGCACATTCATAATAGCTCAGTTTAATTCACATACGGTTTACTGATCTTTAAGTTTTAAAAAGCGTTATGTAACTTGCACTATCTTTCAAGAAGACAATTTCAACAGAATTTTCAGTGCGTGATCCGAAGTCGTGCTATAACTCTAGCCGCCTGTTCGTGTCGCTTGTACGTGACTAAATTAGATACTAAGTACCGTCAATAACATTAATAAGAGAGATCTAAATGTTCCATTTCATTTCATAGATTAGAGACTGCACCATTAGTGAGAAACTTGAAACCACTTAACAAAAGTGCTTGTAATTCTGTGGCAACTTTTAAGTTGACGACTAATAGGAATATCACTCTTCCCAGGAATATATAATATCTTAGGATCACTTTTTTGCTTACTGTATCCTTAGGTTGCTAATTTTATTGGCAAAGTAAGTGTCAGATGAAACGTTTTGTTCGCTGCATCGTTCTTCTAGCCGTTCTAATATCGCTTGTGTATGGGAGAGGGCATCACAAAGAAGGGAAGCACAAACAAAACTATGACAAAAGGAATAAAAACAAGAACAGAAATAATGGAAACCATAACAACGAACAAATAAAACCAAAGAAGTCGAAATTAGACATGAAAAGCAGTTCATATGGTGAGGGTGATGGTTCGTACAGAGGTCTTTGGTCGGACGAAGGTTGGGAATATTATAATGACGTATATCCGATCCGGGACGATGCGACAATCCCCGAAAGCGAACCAGTCGGAAAAAATGCAGCACTTATGATCACAGGTGACACAGATGGCTGGGACAGGGGTGACACAGATGACACAGATGACAAAGATGGCTGGGACTGGGGTGACACAGATGACTGGTTCTGGGATTACACAGATGACACAGATGACACAGATGACACAGATGACACAGATGACACAGATGACACAGATGACTGGTTCCGGGACGATGAATGGTTCCGGGACGATGACTGGAACAATTATGTTCAGGATTGGGACGAAAAATATGATTGGGACTGGGAAGATTGGGACGACACAGATTACACAGATGCCTGGGATGATTGGGACTGGGATGAGTGGGATGACAAGCAAGATTCCTGGGACGATATCGTTCTTTGGTCGGACGAAGGTTGGGAATATTATAATGACGTATATCCGATCCGGGAAGATGCGACAATCCCCGAAAGCGAACCAGTCGGGAAAAATGCAGCACTTATGATCACAGGTGACACAGATGGCTGGGACAGGGGTGACACAGATGACACAGATGACAAAGATGGCTGGGACTGGGGTGACACAGATGACTGGTTCTGGGATTACACAGATGACACAGATGACACAGATGACACAGATGACACAGATGACTGGTTCCGGGACGATGACTGGTTCCGGGACGATGACTGGAACAATTATGTTCAGGATTGGGACGAAAAATATGATTGGGACTGGGAAGATTGGGACGACACAGATTACACAGATGCCTGGGATGATTGGGACTGGGATGAATGGGATGACAAGCAAGATTTCTGGGACGATATCGTTCTAGATTATGATTGGGAGTGGGACTGGGATGAGTGGGATGCCATAGATGACAAAGACTACTGGGATGATGACAAAAATGACGATGCGACAATCCCCATCAGCGAAACAGTCCAGGAAAATGCAGCACTTATGACCACAGCTACAGGAAATGAAAAAGAGATTGCAGTAGAATCGATCGAAAAGGAGCAGCATAATGATGAAACACCAGCACTTCAAAGTACAAAACCCGTACAAGTGGAATTAGAGGTACAACCTGTAAAGGCCACCACACCAACCCCCTTGTCAACAGCAACTGACACATTCCACTCAAATGAAGCAGAGTTGAACGTTGGGACTCTTAGAAAAATACTGGAACTGATGGAGCAAAACAGAGTAAATCTCCCCAAACATGAAGAATACACCCTGCAAACTCTAAGAGATCTTGTTGAGACCATCTCAATGGCTGATTCATTCTTTGATACTGATCGAGGTTGGGTTTGTGATGTTGTTAAAAGCAAACAAATGCTGAAAATCTTAAAAGAAATCCTGAAAAATGACAATAAATTCCTAAATTCTATCAAGGACACACAAGAAGAGAGAGCAGCAGATCAGTTGTATAATAATGTTGAAACAGAAGCAGAAACAGAAGCAGAAACAGAAGTAGAAACAGAAGCAGAAACAGAAACAGAACAGAACAGAAACAGTTCAGCAATTGCCAGTTCAGCAATCACCAGTTCAGAAATCGCCAATTCGATTCAATGAAATGCAGATGACTGAGATCCTTAAAGACCGGGAAGAAGAAGAAATCGTGAAGGAGATTATGTACAAAAGAATGTTCTTCTCCTTTTTGGGTAAAATGTGCGGCATTACCATCTTACCGGAAGACTAATACTACTAAACGGTGGTATTGAAATACCTGACATTGTTATCAAAATGTAAATGGTACAGGACTAAAATTTAAGGTTTTCAGAGATTTGAGTCGAAATATATGTGCATAAGATTTTAAATTAAGAAAATCAAACAATTATAGTGATTTTTTAGTTTTTTTTTACATTACTCGAATGGTTGAGTAACTTTATAACAAAATATGAAGCCTTCAAGTATTAAATTACGTCATCATTCCGACTCAGTTAAAAGATATTTCACTGTTTTCCTTATTATAAATTTGATTTAAGTAATAGAGACATTCCATTTGTAAATATCGACTATTTGTACAGTTTAAGAATATTAGCCTCTAATAAAGCAGGATGGAAGAAATTGTTTTAGTTTATGTATCCGCATTTCCTTCATTTTTTCAGGCTACTTATCAGATCTTTAAAATGTGTATTTATGTTCTATTCTTGATTTGAATAAAGTTTTATAATAATAATACTGTTTTCCTTGTAATTACCAGGAAAATTTAAAAATGGCAATTTGATATTGTTACATCGTTGATTGGCAGACTCTGCTGGTAAGGCAGAAAGTAATGACGTCATTAGTTCATTCGTTGCTATCTTAGCTTTGTTTTAACATTCCAAAGTATCAACCAGTATAATATAACGTATCTTGCTTGCTAAAAGGAATAACTTCTTATTTTTGGATCCAACTTGGCTCAAAGAAAGTTCGAATTAACTCAAACTGTTATTGAAAGGAAAATAGTATAATAATGATCACGTTTCCCTTCGAGTACGGGAGGATCTAAATGCTATGTTCCATTCCATTTCATAGATCAAGGACTGCACCATAACTGACCATTAGTGAGAACCTTGAAACCACTTAACAAGAGTGCTTGTTAATAGAACTACCGTGTCAACTTTTAATTTAATTATAATATAAGTTCACGACTAATAGGAGTATCACTCTTCACAGGATCACTTGTTTTGCTTACCGTATCCTTGGGTTGCTAATTTATGTGTCAGATGAAAAGTTTTGTTCGCTGCATCCTTCTTCTCAGCGTCCTAATATTGCTTGTGGATGGGAAAAAGAGGAAGAAAAATAAGAACAGACATGATGCAAGACCGCACCAAAATAATGGACATCATGGAAACAATAACCACCACAACGGAAAGAAACAAAAAAAGGAATCTAACGACGGTGGTAATTGGTGGGATCCTTTGGGTTGGGACTCAAGTTGGGACTCAAGTTGGGACACAGTTTGGAACGGAAATTGGGACTTAGGTGGGGACGATAATAAGGACGATAATAGGAACGATCACAAGGACGATAAAAAGGACGATAACTGGGGGATGTCTAACTGGTTAGACTGGGAGTTTAATGAAATGTGGGACTGGGATGACGATGATTGGTTAGACATGGATTATAATGGTATGTGGGACTGGGATGACGATGATTGGTCAGACATGGATTATAATGAAATATGGGACTGGGATGACGATGATTGGTCAGACATGGATTATATTGAAATGTGGGACTGGGATGACGATGATTGGCAAGAATACTTTAGAGATATCGAAAATGGTTTTACTGATTACTGGTCCCCGTTGAGTCTACTGGATGATCACCAGGATGACTGGGATGACTGGGATGACTGGGATGACCGGGATGACGATGCGACAATCACCAACAACGAAACAGCCGGGGAAAATGCAGCACTTATCATCGCAGGAAATAAAAATACTAATAAGGAATCAACTGAAATGGAGCAGCATAATGATGAAACACAAGCACTTGACAAATTCACTCGAATGAAGCAGAGTTGAACGTTGAGACTCTTAGAAAAATACTGGAACTGATGGAGCAAAACAGAGTAAATCTCCCCAAACATGAAGAATACACCCTGCAAACTCTAAGAGATCTTGTTGAGACCATGTCAATGGCTGATTCCTTCTTTGATACTGATCGAGGTTGGGTTTGTGATGTTTTCAAAAGCAAGCAAATGCTAAATATCTTAAAAGAAATCCTGAAAAATGACAATAAATTCCTAAATTCTCTCAAGGACACACAAGAAGATAGAGCAGCAGATCAGTTGTATAATAATGTTGAAACAGAAGCAGAAGCAGAAACAGAAACGGGAAACGGAAACAGAAGCAGAAACAGAAGCAGAAACAGAAACAGAAGCAGAAACA